ACTTCAAGATGTAAAATGGAACAAAAACATGAAAAGCGGTGGTGCTCGAACAACAGAAAAAATGCATCCAGTATGAATCACTAAAAAACTGTGCGCCTTAATGTGTGCTTGAGCTGCATAGTTCAATTCTTATATGGTGAAAAAAGACTTGAAATCAGAGAATAACTTAGAGAGACATTCAGAATCCGTGTTTACTCTCAAAGACTGGAAATACATTTATTTTCTTCATCCAGTTCTTAGATTGTTGGGTTGAAATGCTTTTAGGAGTTGGATCAAACTCTTAACTAACTACCGATTCATTCCACATGATTAAAGTTTTAAGGGATTTCCTCTAAACAGTGTTTGGATTGAAGGAATGGTGTTGACATATTTTGAAAGAAAGCAGTATTTGCTATCTACTAGTATACTGTATTAGGCAATTTTTTAGTATTGGGGGAACAAATTACCCACATCAGTTACTATAACATGCATCCATCCTTTATAGATTGATATGTACATGATACATGTCTTGGTTGTTGCCTACAGGTCAGAAGCTCTTAATACTTGTCGTCGCCACCCTAACCCTACAACATAGTACTACTGTTGCTTATGGGTCTGGGACCTCCGGGAGCATCAGCATGGCACTGCCTGGCTGCCCAGGCAATTGTGGCAATGTGAGCATTCCGTACCCATTCGGCACTAAAAAAGGCTGCTTCCGAGAATCCTTTAATGTCACATGCAATGAGACTGGAGCATATCTGGGCTCAAACGGACTTAGAGTACTGGACATCACTCTTAACTTGGGTGAGGTTCGTGTTCAGAACCCACAAATATCATCACAATGTAACTACAGCAATGGCAGTAATAGCACCAGTGATTTGGACGTCTTATATCTTGATCCTTTTGATACGGTTTCCAACACCAAGAACAAGTTGGCATCAATCGGCTGTGGTGTACTTGCAGTGCTTGTGGGACAAGCCGAGGGCAAGAACCAGCTTGAGTACTATACCGCTGACTCATGCATTTCATCTTGCTTTGACACAAGCAGCATCTATAATGGAACAGAGTGCTCTGGCATGGGTTGTTGCCAGGCCCCTGTTTCAGGAAACATCAGCGCGTTCCTCGCCGGATCCCAGCCACTACCACCTATATACAACTCTACCATCCAGTCTTTCAGTCCTTGCAGCTACTCATTTGTTGCTGAGAAGGACTGGTTCAAGTTTGATCATTCCTATGTTAACTCTACAAATTTCGCAAGTAAGCATACAGATGGGGTTCCTTTGGTACTCGATTGGGTTGTTGGTAATGAAAGTTGTTTGGAAGCCACAAAGATGGGATCACAGTCTGCCTGCCAAGCCATGAACAGCGAATGTGTTGATGTGCCCAATGGCCCCGGTTACCACTGCAGCTGTTCTCAAGGTTATGAAGGCAATCCATACCTACAAGGAGGGTGCCAAGGTATGTATATGCATCTAGCAGAATCAACCTATACTATCTCCTTTCTGTCAGCTTATTGTTTATGGAATGCAATATTCTGTTGATCCATGTTGACATGCTCTTCACTTCCTTGAAATGACAGACATTAATGAGTGCAACCAATCCTTGAATCCCTGCAAAGGTAAATGCAGAAACACTGTGGGAAGCTACACCTGTTTTTGCTCATCAGGATTCAGGAGTGACGATCCAAAGAGCATACCCTGCGTTCGATCTGACCCAAAGAGAGCGCTGAAAATTGTGTTAGGTAATGGGATTGTTAACAGTCAAAATATTTTGCACACCGCTTGTGCACACACTACTTAATTGCACTTTTTAGGCCAGTTATATAAATCCAAGTTCAGTTTGGACACGGTCATATAGAAAAACAATGGCATGATTGCACTATATATGGCACTAAGTTTTAGCCAAATGTGAGCAACGTTGCTAGCTGAACTGATGGTAATTAACTGTCATGATTTCCAGGCATATCCATCAGTGTCGTCTTCCTCATGGTTTGCATCTTGGCTCTACGGGCCGAGTATCAGAAAAGGAGGATGAAGAAAGAGAAGGAAAGATTCTTTGATCAGAATGGTGGTCAGATATTATATCACCAAATTATGTCAAAACAAGTTGATACATTGAGAATATTCACGCAAGAAGATCTGAAGAAGGCTACAAATGATTTTGACAAGAGCAGAGAACTGGGCAGGGGTGGTCATGGCACTGTCTACAAGGGCATTCTCAAGGACAGCAGGGTAGTGGCTGTGAAACGCTCGAAGATCATGAACGTGGCCGAAACTGACGAATTCGTACAGGAGATTATTATACTTTCACAGACCAACCACCGGAATGTGGTCAGGCTTCTAGGGTGCTGTCTAGAGGTGGAAGTTCCAATGCTGGTCTACGAGTTCATCCCTAATGGCACTCTCTTTGCGTTCATCCATCGTAACTACACAAGTCCACCTCCCTCTCTGGACACCCGTCTCAGGGTCGCTCAAGAATCAGCAGAAGCACTGGCGTATCTGCATCTGTCCATGAACCGGCCTATAGTACATGGGGATGTTAAGTCTATGAACATTCTCTTGGACGAGAACTACATGGCGAAAGTGACCGACTTTGGGGCGTCAAGGATGCTCCCCAAGGATGAGGTTCAGTTTATGACATTGGTGCAGGGCACCATGGGTTACCTCGACCCTGAGTACCTGCAGGAGCGGCAGCTAACAGAGAAGAGCGACGTTTACAGCTTTGGTGTTGTGTTGCTGGAGCTGATCACGGGCAAGACGGCCATCTACCACGATGGACCCAAGGAAGGCAAGAGCCTTGCATCGTCCTTCCTGCTCGCGATGAAGGATGGTAGCCTTGATGGCATACTGGACACAAGCATAGTGGGTGACAGCATGGAGATGCTTCTGGGAGAAGTCGCTGAGCTGGCAAGGATGTGCTTGAGCGCCAGGGGGGAAGAGAGACCTTCCATGACCGAGGTGGCTGACAAGCTGAAGGCTATGCGAAGCACCTGGAGGGAGAAACTGGTGCTCGAGCATGGCAAAACAGAATGTCTGGTTGTGTGCTCCTCACCTGCAGCTTCGGCTCTTTGCGATCCTCCATCATCGAGCACGTTTTCAACTGTGCCCCACATGTCTGGAATAGGTATAGAGACACCCAGGTGATGGTTTCAGTTATTATTACACCATGCGAGTAGTATTGCCAAGAGTGTGTGTGTATGTGTTAGAGGCCTGGAGCTTCAAGTGTATTTTCAGTATTTGTCCTGTATTTGTGGTACCAAGTATTATGTAGAAGTAGGAATTGGTTATTACTACATTTATGTCCTAGTTTTGGTTATGTTGGTTACGGAATATTTGACCTTCTTGTGTTGCTTGCTGCTTTTCATTCATGCCTTTTGGCAGTTGATTGTAATGATTTTGTAATAATTTGGAGAGTAAAATGTATCCACACTGATCAAATCAGTTTACTGAGCAGTATCAGATCTATTACAGCTAATGCTTCAGTGGACCTGCTGTATATAGAGGCCATTAGTTAATCGTATTGATGTGACAAAGGTAAGATTCTTGTGTTGCCTGAATAGGAAGAAAAATAAAATCCTAATAAATGCAGCCTCAGTTCTTTTGTTTCTGTGAACTCTTATCTCTGTTAGATTATTGAAAGTAGGTCCTGCTGTGTTCATATTCTTTACTTAGATATTTGATTCTCAAGTCAGGTGAACAAAAAGTAACTTTACTGTAACTCCGACAGGTATTGGTGGTTTCTCTTTTTCTGCTCATGAGGTTAACGCATAAGGAGAGCTGCATATTTTGATGTGTGCTGGCACCACAGTTTGAGATTAAAAATTCACAGTGTGATATAAGGATAAATCTCAGGTAACACTGCTCGACTTCCTCCTGCTTACAGTTTCTGTTCATTACTAACATATATTATTTCATACTGAATTTGATTGATGGAGTTCAGTAAATTTTGGTTCATCCGATGTCATCTTCTTCTGCACTGTTGCAAGCATCTATAGACAGAACCATCACTTAATAGCATTTAACTATTCCAGTCTATATATAGTTATCCCATCACAGTTCATGAAAAGAAATATAACTTCATAGAACTGTCACTTATTACCCCTATCTGTTTCACAATAATTGAAGTTATAGGATTGTCCTAAGTCAAACTTCATTAAGTTTGACAAGTCTATAAAAATATATCAACATCTACAAAACCAAATTTACTTAATTAGATTCATTATGAAATGATTTTTCTATATATATATATATATATATATATATATATATATCAGGGCCAGAGCTTTATATTGTTATACAGTACCAAAGTTGACTTGGTAAAACAAAAATAATGTCGAGTTTTGCAGCTCAGATGTCATATTTACAGAACCGTCACTTGGTAGCATTTAACTATTCCAGTCTATATATAGTTATCCCATCACAGTTCAGGGAAAGTAGTACTCCCTCCGTTCAAACTTTGACCAAGTTTTTGTTCAGACTTTGCCTACTTTGACCAAGTTTATAGAGAAAACTATTTCTATCTACAATACCAAATATATAAAATATGAAACTATGTCTTATGATGAACCTAATGATATATGTTTGTCACTCTAGATGTAAATGTTTTTCTCCACAAACTTGGTCAAAATTTGTAAGGTTTGACTTTCCAAAAAATCTATACGCACTATATTATGGAACGGAGGGAGTATAACTTTATAGAATTGTCACTTATTAGCATTTAACTATTCCAGCAGTGAAGTGCCGGCCTGCTGGTAGAATCAAGTGTTTTTTGACTGCTATCTGTTGCACTAGTCTTCGGTCGTAGCCTTGTAGGGCCTTTATTCAGCACAGTTTGGCTGCAAGTCAACACAAGCAACCTGTTTGTTGTTGCCATCGTGAATTTAGACAGTGGCACGTTTTTCTCTCTCTGATAGGTGCCTTCTTTGACTCATTTGTCAGCTTGCGGCCAATTTTCTTCTGATAACTGACTATATCAGGGCCAGAGCTTCAGAGTACCAAAGTTGGCTTATTAAAACAAAAATAATGGCGAGTTTCGCAGCTCCGGTATCCTCCATGGATGCAGCTGCAGCCCTTTGCCTTGTGCTTATTCTAGCAACCACGACTTCCTCTCCTGTCTATGGGCAACAACCCAGCAACGGTGGGTGCATCACAGAGGAGAGGGACGCACTGCTGTCTTTCAGAGCTGGCATCAGAAGCGATCCACAGAACCTCTTTTCCTCTTGGAATGGCCCAGATTGCTGCCAGTGGAGCGGTGTCAGGTGCAGCAACAGGACAGGTCATGTCGTCAAGCTTGACGTCCGCAACGATCTCTTCTTTGACGATATCTATCATAGCTGGTATAGTGAAAATCCTCATGGGATGCGTGGGAACATAAGTTCTTCCTTAGTTGCTTTGCATCATTTGGAGTATCTAGATCTGAGTGGGAACTATCTCGGTGGAGTGGATGTGCCCATACCCGGATTCTTGGGCTCCCTCCAAAGCTTGAGATATCTCAACCTCTCCTGCATGGATTTTCATGGTAAAGTGCCTCCTCAACTTGGTAACTTGTCCAGACTGCTATATCTTGACCTCAACAACAACTGGAATCATAATTCTTATGGCATGATGTTGCACATCGAGGATATCTCATGGTTGTTGCGTCTCGCTTTGCTAAGGTTTCTCGACTTGACTAGTGTGAATCTTAGTGCCATTGGCAATTGGGTTCAAGTGGTTAACATGCTATACAATCTAAGAGTCCTTCGTCTCCGTCGTTGTGGACTTGTTTTTCCACAGATACCTACTGTGCATTCTAACCTCACATCACTTCAGATTCTTGATCTAAGTGATACTGGGTTTCATACCATCAATCCAACCTACTGGTTCTGGGATGTTGGCACCATCAGGCATCTTGACCTTGCGAATAATGAAATTGCTGAAGCATTTCCAGATGCCATGGGAAATATGACTTCGCTTGAGGTACTTTGTCTTGGAGGCAATCATCTCACCAGTATAAAGCCTGAAGTACTGGGAAACCTGTGCAATTTGAGAGTGCTAACACTCTGGTCAAATCTGATCAATCAAGACATTTCACATTTTTTACAGGGGTTGCCTCACTGTGCATGGAGTAAGATGGAGTTGTTAGACATGTCTTGCACGAATGTCGCCGGGGAAATTCCAAGGTGGATAAATCAGTGGACTGATTTGAGCACTCTTCAACTCTCCTCCAATAGGCTTGAAGGATCAGTGCCTTCAGAAATTGGTACGCTTGGCAAACTCAGACAGTTGTATCTAGACGGCAACTATTTGAACGGTTCTGTATCAGAGGAACATCTTGATACTTTAGTCAATTTGGAGGAATTGGACTTGTCTTACAACTCCCTACACCTGATGATCAGCTCAAATTGGATCCCCCCCTTTAAATTGCGCCGGGCATATTTCCCACGTTGCAAAATGGGACCTCATTTTCCTCTATGGCTAAAAGGGCAGAAGGGTGTTGTTTTTCTTGACATCAGAAATAAGCGGCAGGTTGCCAAGGACACTTGAGTTTATGTCCTCAGCAGTGATATTTGATCTGAACTCCAACAACCTCACTGGTATTCTACCACTGTTGCCAAGGCAATTGGCAGAACTGGACATTTCCAGAAACTCTTTATCGGGGCCACTGCCACGAAACTTTGGAGCTCCGTTTATTGAAGAGTTGTTGCTTTCTGAGAACAGTATCAATGGCACGATTCCAACATATATTTGTCAGCTGCAGTCATTATTGGTACTGGATTTAGCAAAGAACCTCCTGGCAGGACACCTCCCTGTCTGTTCAGAAGAAACGAAAAAACTGAATAGATCCATTAGAGCTCTAGTCCTGTATGAAAACAACTTGTCTGGTGAATTTCCTTCATTTTTGGAGAGCTGCTCAGAGTTGGTTCTGCTTGATCTTGCGCACAACAACTTTGCCGGAGAGTTGCCGGCATGGTTAGCAAATAAATTGCCAGGTTTGTCCTACCTCCGGTTGCAGCATAATAAATTCTCTGGCTCTATTCCAGGTCAGCTCACACAGCTTGAACACCTACAGTATGTGGATCTTGCAGATAACCGAATATCAGGATCTATACCTCATACACTGGCCAACTTGAAAGCAATGATACAGGAGGACCAAACACTTTGGAACCCCTTAGTGTGGAGTTATGAAAGGCCAGCAAACCCTGACACGAATGATTCACCAAAATATGATGACAGCTTAGCAGTGGTAATGAAAGGCCAAGAACTTGATTACACCAGAAATATTATTTATATAGTTGGCCTCGACTTGTCCTGTAACAGTTTGGTCGGAGAGATTCCAGATGAATTGATTTCCCTGGTTAGAATGAATAACCTGAACATCTCCCATAATCAGTTGTCCGGCAGGATCCCGGAGAAGGTCGGTTCGCTACGGTCATTGGAGTCTGGCGAGATTCCTTTTCGTATCTCGGACATCACGACGTTAAGCAAGCTGAACCTGTCATACAATAACCTTTCGGGAAGAATACCCTCAGGGAATCAGCTGCAGTCACTCATCGACCCAGCATCGTCGTATGTCGGCAACAACTATCTTTGCGGGCCTCCTCTTTCCAGGAACTGCTGGGAGCCTGATGTAACTAGAGGTGATATTGAGGAGCATCAAGACGAGGCGAAGTATTTCTATCTTGGGCTGGCTGCAGGATTTGTCTTTGGTCTCTGGCTGGTGTTCATTATCTTCCTGTTTCGTTCATGTGGTGGGTTCGCAATGTGCGGAGCAATGCCATCACGCTGGGCACGACTGCCTGAAGCTCAAGGATTGGCATTGCAGCTTCGTCGTGGGTGAAACCAAGACCGGAGATGAGCTGAACTTAGCGTTGCTGTTGTTGGAACTAGCGTTGATGCAGTCTGCGTGATGGTGTGATGCGGAGCCATGCCATTGCGCTCAGCACGGTTGCCTGAAGGATTGGTGCTGCAGCTTCGTCGTGGGTGAAACCAAGACCGGTGAAGATCATGCAGCTGAAGTTAGCATTGCTGGTGGTGGAACTAGTCTTGGTACTGTACTAATATTACTGCATGATGTTGTGATTTGGACAGTTTAAAAAAATAAGGGCGATTAAAATGATTGTAAGCCACACCTTTTCGAAGATGTGGATTGTACTGTTTGTATTGATTATTTTGAAGTTGTCTAGATTGTTGTAGACGGTGGTGGTGTCTAAATTGTTTTATTCTTGATGCTATACTACCACATGGTGTTGTTTAAACTGTTTTAGACGGTGTTGTTGTCTAAATAGTTTCATTCTAAGTTTTTGAAATTGTTTAGTGTTGAGTAGCGCTTTTATTGATTATTTTCAACTTGTCTATGTTTTAGATGGTGTTGTCAAGTACGAAGAAACCCGTTTTTTCCCCCCTTTTGCTATTTTGGATCTCTATGTGTTACATTGAACAAATACCTTCATTTTTGGAACATGTATGTATCCTAGATGCTGGACCCGTTGTGTCATGAAGAAACTCGGCACTTGTCCTAGCTAGCCACATGGTGAAGACACATAGTACTTGTTCTAGCTTCATCCAGCGAGGTTGAACCAATCCATAATCTTTATATGTTTGATGCATATGTTTTCATTCCGAGATGAGCAACGACTTTGAATTAGTGCATTAATGGTGCTGAACTATATATACTTTGATGACTTCAGTACGGTTTTCAGATGAACATACGTGTCCGGGGAATAGCTCACGGTCTTCGGTCTGGGAAGGGGATAAACTAAACTAGACGTTTGAGAATTGAGATCAGAGATCAGATGGAGATCGAACAACGGTTGACTGCTTGCTTGCTGCCACCTCCTCCCGCTCTCCAAATTAAACAACAAGCCACGCACCTACAGTTTGATTAGTACTCCGTTTCACACCCAGAAAAAGATGATCCAGGAGACTTGAGTGCAAGTTCATCTTTCCTTGTGTGTGTGTATATAGCCCGTGTGTAAGTTCGCGCACAAATAACCCTCGCAACAACTAGACAGTCTCATAATACACGGTTGCGAAACAAACCCGGGGGATACACCATACACACACACACACACAGTGACACATACATGGGTTGGTCACTGCCTCCAGGTAAGAATTTCTTTCTAGCCTAGCTTTTTTTTTTTGGTGACGAATTTCCTTCTGGCCTAGCTAACTACCCTGTTCATGTTCAACAGTCCTTTTTTGTAAAGAACACACTCCAACCGTTTCTTTCTGTAGTTTGTAGAGACATGCCCCCTCACAGTTGCATGTAGTTTTTCGTTTTGTTTTGGTAGCTCTTTTCTATGTAAATACACTCCATGAGTTTGTTTTGCGGAGTAGTAGTTTTCATTTAGTATACGTATTATCGAACATGTAGTTTCCATATGTTGATGTTACTTATGGGAAGGCTCTTTAAGCAACCAAGAATTTAGGATGCACAAAATTTTCAAGTTTACAAGAAACTTTCACCGATCTCGCGGCACCATCATCATACTATAAAAGCTTGATGGTAACTTGTTGAAAAACCCCACCTTCCCTCACACGAAGTACCACTGTTTGCATTTTTTACATATCCTCGCGGGGTAATTTTTAGCATGACTTCATCCCCTCAAAGCAAACACGTGAACAAACTCTTTTAGAATCCCATAACACATTGGGCTTGGTCAAGAACTCAGGATCAATGCATTTCCTCAAAGTGTGGCTTTCCTCTTGATCGTAGTTGCAACTTCAAGCTTCGGCATCAATATGAGCTCTCCATCGTTATAGTACGTCTCTTAGGATTACTAGTATTGAAACAACATTCTCCATCTTGTATACGCAGATCCATGCCAGGTGTTGGATTGTGTCATTTTTGACCTGATAAGTTTTAAATAAATTTTAATACCTCGTGGTGACTGGTGAGCAATCCTAATCTCGATAAATTTTAGTAATAATTTGCTTCCATCATCGCAAATATTCTGTCCATGTCACGGGTTTCGACTTGGGACTAAGAAATTCGAGAATGGCTTTTGTTTTCGAAAACACTAACGCCCACATGTGTGGGCGTTCCCCAACTCGCCCACACGCGTCGATCGTCGTCCAATGCCTTTTGCACAAATCTTGACACGAAAAGGTGAATTTGGTGTGCCACGTAGGACGGTGCTGGTGTGTGGGCGTTGAAAAGTTCGCCCACACGCTCGCACCATGCTGTTTGCTAGCTACGTTGTGTGGACGAATTAGTTTCTGCCCACACAGCCAGCCACCTACTTCATGCGCGTGTGGGGAACTGCTTTTCGCCCACACGACACTCCTATATTGTGGATGGCAACTGCAGTTAGGCGAACGTGACAACTAGGTAAACACACATGGCAGCTGTGATTTTTTGCTAGATGGTAACTGCAGTTGCGCGTACGTGGCAACCAGATAAACAAACATGACAACTGTGATTAACAATACATGCCAACTATGGTTGAACCACACGTGGCAATTAGGTAAACACACATGGCAACTACCGTTTGACCATATGTGGCAAGTAGTTAATCATACACAATAACTACGATTTGATTACACGCGACAACTACCATAAATTAGACATGACAACTATAGTTAACCAAAACAGATAGAGTTGTCATGCTTTTACAACTACACTTGCCATTCCGCATAACTACATCTGCCAACTAGGATGGCAACTAAATCGTCATCCTGCAGTGTACCTAAGGTAGCTGCGTCAGGACGTGTGGGCATTTTTGCTTCGTGCCACACATGCGGGGTGAAGATGAATAGTACTTATTGGCATGTAGCACGAAGTAGCCGCGCCTACACGTATGGGCAATCCTAATGTCCACTATACACGGTATGTGGGCGCATATCGAATATACCACACGTGTGATAGTTATCGGCGTCCTTTGTTTTTGTACATGCCGGCTTTTCCTGAAATAACAAATATACCCCGCTGACAAGTCTCCCCTCCACCATCTCTTTCCCGCGTCCCATTCCCCGGATCTGAGCAAACCCTCACCCCGCCGCCCAGCACGGCCGTGGCCGGCGAGATGCCTGACGCCGATGGAGGTCCGCCTGGCGCTCCACCAGCCAGTGCGGCACCTCCGGGTGCTCGTCCACCTCTGTCCAGTCGCCACGGCGAGCAGTCTGGTTCCTCCGGTTGCCGCCGCCGCCGCCACGTGGGGGTTAGAGTATCCGGCACTACCGGCGGGCACCGCCTACTCCGGCTTCGTCTCCGCGGGGCCATGTTCCGCCGCCCCGCCGTTCTGCGCTCAGGGCTACCAGCCCCCGTAAGGTACGGCCGGGGAACCTGGTCTGGTGAATCTGTCTTGTGTCCCTGATGTGTTGCAAACTCATGCCTTTGGAGATATCAGGAGTGGGAGAAGAACAGTAGAAATCGTCGCAGCGTAGAGTGATTTTTTTTTTACTTTACCACCTTACACTTGTTCGTGCGAAGCAGGGGAATCTTTTTTTATGCACTTATACTTATAATGGTTGGGCTGAGATGGAGGTTCCAGAGTAATGTCATGTGAGGAATCAATCACGACGTAGCGGCATGTAGAAATATG